CATTAAAGTAATTATTTACTAAATGGCATTTAGATAATGTCCAGTATCCAAAAAATCTTTTGCTCAAGAGTGTCATTTATATATTAAAACTAGTTCCAAAAGGCAAATGAGACAAGATAGCAAAAATCTGTGGGGACTTGGTTAGGCATGAGGAAATCAGCACAATTTTTAGTTTTTTCTCCTGCTAATACATATTTCAAGAGCACCACATATCTTTGATCTTGCAGACATAAGGTGTTTCATGAATTTTTATTATAAGCATGGTATACATGAATTTATATTCATAAGTACTTGTATGAAAATGAGACAATTTTCCTTAACAGATGACTTTTTAAATAAAATAAGTGTTCACTGAAAATTAACAAGGGCCTGGAGGGAAAGTTAGAAGGTGGTTGATAAAATGGTTGTGGCTGGTGCTATAAACTAGGTGTTAAGTGTGGCTGTGACCTTATAAGATATAAAGATAAATGCATAGTGTTACATAAGTTTGAAAGGCAAACTAGAGTTGTACTTTTGTACCTATAATGGTATTTTCTTTAAGGTTAACTAAAAAAAAAAAAACCTTTTTTTCTGCTTTTGAAAATTTATCACATCTCTCACCTTTCCTCTGTTATTTTACTTTGATGGAACATTTCCAGGACAGAATTGTGCATTCCTTTTCACTTTAACTCTACTTAAAAGGATTGATCAGTATGTTTATTTAACTTCTCTTGTTATGATTCCGTCTGTATCTTTGATATTGAAATGTCAAATACAAACAGACTTTTTGGGGATTTTCCATTTAGAACCTGGTAAAATGAGATACTTTGCTACAGTTTATTTAGTGCCTATTTAGTATTATTTGAGTGTCAGTTATTGTGTATTTTATGTCTCTTCATTGCCTTAGAGATTCAGAGTGTTGCTTAAGATCACATGACCTATTTATGGTAGAGCCTAGCTAGGCATCTAGATTTTGATCTTTTTGCTTGTACTCACTTCTGTTTATTGCTTTTTCTCCTGTGTAGTTTTTCCTGTAATCCTGCTTCATTAATTGATTGAAAACCAGTGTTGTATTTCAGAGGTCTCCTTATAAATTTTTAAGAGCCCAAGATAATCTCAAATACAATATGTGGTTCACCTAAGATGACTTTTATAGTCAGTTTGAACTGAGAAGTTCATTTATTGTCCTGCTATACTGTGTTAGTTTTGGAATGACAAGTGTGCCTGCTATTAGACTTTATCCATTTCTTGATGGTCCTTTATGTCTTTGGAATGCATCAGAATATTTCTTGGTAATTTTTATGTTTTGTGTAAGACTGCTAATATGAAAATCCTGTACTTTGGTTATCTAAGCAAGTTGCCTCCAGGGAAGGTATTAGTGATTACAGTGAGAAACCCACCGATCATTTCAAATGCAGCCCCAGTTATTTTTTTTTGCAAATATAAGATACTTTAGGAATTGATTCTGTAGTATCTTCCCCAGTCACCTATTGGACAGTTGTTCTTTTTTGATTCAGTTTTTTAAAATGCTCGATATTTAAAGACATTCTAAAAGCACGTTCTTCTAGATTTGCTTTAGACTAGTTATATTAAATCTCACTTTTTCTTCTCTATTTGTCCCCCTTTGCAGGATGATGAAGTGGTCCTGCAGTGTACCGCAACTATCCACAAAGAACAACAGAAACTATGTTTGGCAGCGGAAGGATTTGGCAACAGACTTTGTTTCTTGGAGTCTACTTCCAATTCCAAGGTGGGATGAAGTCATTCAAAGTCATTCAAATGTGTCTTTCTACTTGTGACACTGAGGTTGTTTATGAGCACTCTGCTCTTTTCTGTGGAAAGCACACTACATGAACTAAGGGGGCATGAAAATGGTTTTACTCTGCAGTATGGAGAATTTTAATTCAGCCTCTAGTGGGTACACAGAACTGGAATACAGCTGGAAAGAAAAAGAGACAAAGTTCTTGCCTGTGATGCTTTTATTCTAGTGGAAAAGTAAGCAAGTCATAAGTTATGTAATCTGAGAATGGAAAGGGCTAAGGAGGAGAGTAGACAATGTTGAGCAGAAGACTTATCCTTTTACAAAGAGAATTTTTGGGAAGGTTTTTCAAGGTGGTGAGATTTGAATAAGTTGGAAACAAGTGAAAGAATATGTCATACTGTGTATTCTTGAACTTTCTACAGAGAGGAGCTTAGAAATGCAAGGTACTAAGGACAGAGGTGCACATGCAGAGTATTTAAGTAGCATGAGTGAAGTAGTCAGTGGCAAGAGATACAGTCTTGGGCCAGGTCTCAAATGGTCTTCCAAGCCATAGTTAAGAGTTGAGATTTTTTGCTAGTATCAAGGAGGGGCAGGGGGAGTGAGAGCATTGGAATAGGGATGTGGCACCAATTTGGTTTAGGTGTTTTAAAGATTATGTTTATGCTTTTGTCAATTTGAGACTTACGTAAAGTGGAAGTGAAAGAGCAGTTGGAAGGTGCTTGCTGAAGAATGGGTGGGAGCCTCCAACTGTAAGAAACAGCTGGGCTGTCAAGAATGCACTGTTAGTATATGGTGGATTTGCTGATCGGTCAGACTGTGAGAGAATAAAGGAAAGAGAAGAAATGGGGGTGCCTCTGGGGGTGAGAAAATACTCAATTTCATAGTCTATTGTATGGCACTTTTTGGTTTACAAGGTACTTTAACATTCATAATCTCATTTGTCATAATGAAGGAATTTGCAGTTATTGTTCTCATATTCATTGCACACACAAGGAAGTGAGAAACTAATAGAGATGAAGTACTGTACTTATAATACTCAATATGACTTCAAGCAAATAGTTCTAGCAGTGGCTGTTCACATGGAGACCTAGGTCTTTAATATCAAATCCTTGATTTATTCTTTATACTGTGGAACTTTTTTGGTTATTTTGTGAAATCAGTTGTGTGTGTATACTTTAGTAGTTCATGTAAAATAACATTATAAATATTATAATAGTTTGTAGAAGAACATATATTTTATAACCCTACTTAAATTTATTTTATTTGATGATTTTATGGAGTATTCTTTTTGTTCAACTTACTGTGACAAATTTGGTTGTGAAAAATATTTTTCTTAAATATCAGTTAATTTAATATGTAGCATTTTCTCTGCAGTTTCTGATATTTCTGCGGTGGCTAGGACCAGGATAGCATTTTTAGTTAAGCTAGGCTTTTTACTTTCCATATTATATTGAATAATATTCTAATTGTTGGTCTTTTTTACCAGTCTTTTATAAAAAGACTGATGTCAAATACTAAAAACTAGTATTCCTGACTTTATTCTACGTAAGTTATGTAAAGTATTGAAATATGACTAGGTATCCATTTAAATTGTTTAGTTCCTAGCACTGATGCTAGACTATCTAGTGACTACTGATTATATTGTAAACTGAGCATTTTATTCCTTTTGATTTTCATGCTTGTGGAGTTTTCTGATTTATCTGACAATCTACATTTGGAATGAGATAAATTATTATAAAGCATAGAATTAAGAAGGAAATTAAAGTCCATTATGCTAATCTGAGCTCTTTGTAAAGATCTTGCAATTTAAGTACTTTTTTTTCTTTCCCCTTACTGTTTGGATCATAGGTGATTCCCACCACGTAGGATTGTCTTGTGTTTCCTGGTGCCTTTGTTCTTCTGGTTTGTCTTTCCTGCAGTCTTCCTACCTGATAAAATCCTGCTTGTTCTTTAAAATACATCTATCTTCCTGCCTTACGGGCAGCTTTCTTTTCCTACTTCTGTGATCCTCTCTGTGTTTACATACTTTGCTTATGTTATAGCTATTTGGGCCTAATTCTGGGTGAAATCTGCACCAGCTTCTCTTCATGAATACATGCAGACGTCCTTCTAAGGTCCACACTCCAGCTCTTGAAGCGCTAAAGTCTGGATAAATCTCCATTGTTTTATTAAATTATATTTAGTGCCAAGCACAGTGCCTTTAACCTATAAAATTTATGGATTATTAAATTGGAAAGAGAACTAATAGTCGAGCTAATTCTATTTTTTCGAAGATAGAATTTCAGCTTTCTATACTAACAGAGTTGAAACCTTAGATCTTAGTTAATGTTCACAATATGTAAGCCTTCCAGAAGATGTATCTGGATTTTATTTTCACTGATATAAAACAGAATATACGGTCCACTTCCCTAATTGGTTTCTTTTGTACGTAGGATAAAAGTAGGGAGAACAGAGTGATTGTTATAATAAGTAGTTGGACACTGTAAATTATATTTTTGCTCCTGGAATCAGTGCCAGAGCTATCTTAAGCTATAGAATTGTTAGTTACATACAGAGTAATGTAAAGCCAAGAGGTAATGGTGTTTCCCCACAGATAGTATCAGTACACATAGAGGAGGAAGCAGAGGGAAGGCAGTGCGATCCGTGTTGTCTGCAAAACCTGGTAACGTGGTGGTAGAGTACACAGGAAAGCAGCAGCCATGCCTGAGAGAGGAAAACAAAAGAACAGAACAGAACCGAACGGAATCAAACCAAACCAAACCATGGACACATGGGATGTTTCTTGAGCAAGTTGGGACTTGGGCGCTTTCGTAAGGAGCGTAAGTAGAGCTCTGTTCAGAACAAATCCCTGCTCTGAGCAGAAACAATTGCAGATGCAGTCTGCATTGAGCAGGCATCTGAGGATAGACTAGGTCCAGACAAAAAGGGGCAAGAAAGTAGAATCAATACAGCTGGTAAGATAAGAGGTGATGCTTCAGACACAGTAGGACACAGTGGGAGAATCATGGAGGCGGGTGCCCCAGGGCCATGGAGCACTCAAAGAAACAAATGAAATCAACTCAATTTTTACCTGTTCATCTGGCATGCCTTTATTGCCTGTAGATATTATAAGATAGTAATACATATATAATCATGTAAATTTTTTCTATAAGAAGTCTAATGTGTATGTGTTTATAGAATTATTTACAATTGTCTTTAATATATACATATATAAAATTATCATATATAATTTTAGATGTAAAACAGAGTGAGATCAGAAATGTCCCTGAATCAAGACTGACAGTGTTCTGAAGGTGTTGAAAGCAGGATGGTAAAGTGGTATCTTTATATGGTCTAATGGCCATTTTAGAACTTCAGAAATGTAGTGGTTAATTCATTGGAAAGAAACAACTCCCTCCCTGTCCCCCAGTGAGCCTGCTGCTGCAGGCCCTTAGGAGAAGCTACTCCCACTGGTGAGCCTGTGGTCAGGGGCCCAGAGGAGAGGAAGCCACCCCACTGGGTTTCCACTGACATGGAGTGACTTTGATGAGCTGCTGCCCATACTCCTCCACCACACTGGAAACCTTGGGTTGGAGGAATCTAGGTGCCTAGCCCAGTGCCCTATACCATGAGATGGGCAGCCAGGGAAGGTAACACCCAGGACTCAGCATCCAGCTGATTCACAGGAATGCAGTAAAGTGTCAAGATGAAGCAACAGGGTGCACTCTCAGACCTCCAGCCCACCCAGAACAGAACAGAAGACATAGACACAAAAAAATTAGAAGTCACAGATGTGAAATTTCTGAAATGATAGCAACTGGAATAAAGAGACAACTTAGTGCTTATATTGTTTAGTGTGCTTTTTGATTGACTTGCATGCCTGTGTCTGGTGGTCTAAGCGTTTATTTAGAGGATAACAATGTACGTTACAGTAACTATGATTGATTTTCTACTGTCTTGCTTTTGAAATCCAGTATCATTCCCATTGTTTTGCTTTGTTTTGTTCTTTTTATTTCATTTTATTCTCTTCAAAAATGAATAAGAGCAGAATAATGTCCATAGATAATATAATTTACCTGGTAAATAAATTTACAACCATTACTTACTATTTCAAAATAAGCTAAAAAAATTTTGAAAATCAGAGACACTATGAAGGAGACACTGTAAATTAAAAACTCAGAAATAAGATAAACAGAGAGATAAAATTTGAAAAAAGAACTAAAAGATAACAGGAACAGGTTGTAAATGAAAGAAAAGGTAATTTTAGAAATGGAGACAGAAGTAATAGGAATGCCAGAAGACATACACCCACAGGTAATGTCTTCAGAGATAGAAGATGAGAAAGGGAAAACTTTCAGAGACCCAAAAGCTGTAAAGAAGAGATGAAAAAAATGGGAGCAAGTGTTAGGTATAGGCAGTAGGAAAAAATGCAATACATTTATTGCAGAGGATGCAGGTAGAAAGCCAATGCAGATAGAAGACACATTTGTAGTTGAAGAACTTTTATCTGAAAGTACACATTTGAGAGGGCATAGCACACCTAAGAAAGTGAATCTTGTAGCCAAAATGGTTATCTAGAACAAAGTCTTAAGAGTTTAAAGAAAAAACAGTCCTTTTGAATTAAGGCAAAAAACAGTCACTTTTAAGAGAAAGAAGATCTAGTCATCATTCAACATTTTAGCAATTGCTTTCTGCCAAAAGAATGGAGTAATGGTTTTTTTGTGTCTGAGTTTCTAAAATATGAGTCCAGGTTCTACTCAAAATGACTTTTTCATGACAAAGATCCTCAGCTGTTATGAACATGGATAATGCTGAGATGTTTGCATGACCCTTTCCTCAGGAATTTATTGAAGTGTGAGATCCTGACAGTTGAACTCTGGAGGAGGCTTGGGTGTGAAAGGCCTTAGAGCATCCTGTGCAGTTTCCCTGAGGATCTGAGCGCCAGCCATGGTTTAGGCAGAAGGATGTCATGTGAAGCGGTTCTGTGCTGTTACAGCACAGTCAGTGCAGCTGCCACAAAGCGGAGGGGAATGGGGAAAGTTCATCAGAATTATATTTAACTTTGTGATTGTCTTAAGTAAACAATGCAACTTTAGCCCGGAGAGGAAGGGAAAAGCAAGGAGTTATTAATAGCAGTATTGCTATTAGAACTAATATGTAGTAACCATCAAAAAAGGGACTTAAGCAGTTATTTAAAGATGCTAATATACTACTATTGATATTAGAATAGTCAAAACTTCTTAAAAGATCTTTTATCTAGATTATATATCTAGATATATTATTATAATATATATTAATATATATTATATATCTAGATTATATATCTAGATTATATATCTAGATACGATATAAAAATATGTATATCATATTTGTGTATATATATACACACACATATAAATATGTTCACTTTTTTTGACAAACACATGGATATATACACATGCATGTATACATATATATGTCTCATTGTATAAGACAGATTCACACATAAAATATACTATTGGACGTGGTGGCACACTCCTGTAATCCCAGCACTTGGGAGGCTGAGGCAGGAGGATTGTGGCAAATTTGAGATCAGCCTGGGCTACAAAGTGAGCCTAAGGGCAGCCTAAACTGCATAGCAAGACCCTGGCTCAAAAAGACAAAAAAAAAAAAAAAATACTATAAAGTGTGTTAAATAAAAGGAACAATTCAGTTTTAAATTAAATGTTATATTTAGCCTTTTAGAATAAAAACAAAGAAAACAACATTAGAATTAATAAAGGTATTGAGTTGATTTTAAAGATTGGTTCTTTGAAAAAATCAGCAGACAGACTACTAATTAATCTAATCAAAAGGAAGAAAGCATAAATATTCCAATATTAAGAAGTTGTGTATGGGCTAAAAGGGGATAATGATGAAAATGAGAGGAAATGGAACCATAAGGGGACTATTTGTGTAATTATATGCAAATCTATTTTAAAACCTTCATGAAGTGAATCATTTTCTAAAAAAATTATTTTTTTACAGAAAATATGAACAGACCCATTTAAAAAGAAAACAAAGTAGTAAAACTGTTCCCTGATAAGACATGCATCAAGATTATATAGACCTATGTACCTGTGCCTCATAAATTGTTCCAAAGCACAGCAAAAGAAGAAAATCTTCCAAATGTCTTACATCAGTTAAGCATGAAGTGGATTTTAAAATCTTATAAGATTATTTTGCAAAAGGAATTTGTAGATCAGTTTTGCTTTGGCTGATACAGAAATCTGAGGTAAATATTTAACAAAACAAATGTTTCATTAAAAAGTATATCATATTAAGGTTTCCTCTGGGGCTTCAGGAGTGGCTCCATCTATTAATATTATTCTTGATATTAACAGTGATAAGAGGAAAATTTTCAATCTTTTCCTTAGTGAAAAGATTGGATAAAAATTTAAATTATATTTGTACTTTTAAAATAATAGGATATGGATTGATAATGTCTGCACAGTATTATTTTACAAGGGCAGATGCAGTATGAGGAAACAGTTTATTTCAAGGTCAGCAAGAAGAACTGTAGTGGAAAGGTCAGATCTAAGTTAAAGACGTCCAGTGTGTCCTATAACTATTTTCTTGGAAGTGTAATAAAGCCTGAAGACCAGATTGAAAGAGGTAAAACTATTTCCAATTGGAGAAGATTTGATGACATATCTAACTAGAAAAATGAACAAAAGTATAAAAAATGAGAAATCAGTAAAGAAGCAGGTTACAAATCAATGTATCAAGAAATCTATCTATCTATATCTATCTATCTATATCTATCTATCTATTCTATGTATAGATAAAGCTTAGATATATTGGAATGCAGGTATATATGGAATGATATTTGGCACATACAGAGTCATTTTTATTAGGTCAGAAAGGGGACCAGTAATAATCTTAGGCCAATTATTTGCTAATATTCGATGATTAAAATTTAACACGTCATATTTGTTTGCTGTTTTTGATAGCAGTATCAACAGATTGTTTAAAGTATGTGTGCATACACTAATCAGTTAACTTTCCATATGTATTGCATGAATAGGTTTGTTTAGATTGCACATTTAAAGTCCTGTTTTTGTTTTTCTTTGTGTGATGTTTTTAAACTCAAGTATCATCGGCAGACTATGTGAAAATATTTGTCAAGAATATTTATGTAGAAAAGAATACATTCTGAGTCCCAGAAGTCTTTGCTCTTGAAATAAAAGATATAATTTAACATTGTCTTAATTAATGCTTTTAAAATTTTTATTTATTCTGGGAAAGACTACAATAGAATACAACCATGAATATTTTGTCCACAACTGTGAATAATGGAATTTGATTTGTACTTCTGAGAGCTGGCATTAAATTTTGCAACCCAATTTTACTGTTGGGCCCCCTTTTCTAAAAGTAAATACCTAACATTCTGAATTAATTGGACTGTCATGTGGAAAATACAAACTTAAAACCCTCAACTTAGCCTGGGCTGGCTTGCTTTTCTGGTAACTAAGCATTATGATGGAAAATCACACTCCTGGCTATGCAGCTAATAATCATGGCCTTTGTCCGGATGTATTGCAGTATTGCTCTTCCTCTCTCTTTTTCACTTATAATCACTTTAGGACCTAGTAAACTACTTGATTAAATGGAATAATTGCCAGTTAACCTAATGTTCCTTTGATAATATTTGGGTTATTCTAGAGTTTAACTTGAGTTACATTAAGAGACAATTCAATATGGATATTTAATAGTTATAATTAGGAACATTTAACATATAAGCAAATTTAAAATGAATGTTCTGTGTTTTTTCATAGATAGATGAGAAGAATTTTAGTCATCTCAAGTAGACCAGTCTATTTTGAGTTCCTTTAAGGAACAGGGATGTTTGTTTAAATAGTGATCAAATGAAGCATACGAGAAATAAAACTGCCTATGTAGTTCTGAGAAGGATTTCTATAATATTTGGTTTGACAGTTTCACTGGGACCTAATTTATTTGGTTTTTAAGTGCATAATACAGTGTTCTTTATAATAATGAGCAATGGTTAATATTGATTGTTTCATAAGATGCAGTATGCTGTTAAGCCTCACCTTGTTCACAGGATCTAAAACTTATGACAGTAAACACTATAAAATACTGAAATACCTAGTTTTGTACTAAATTGAGTCAAATTTTACTAGATGAACTTTTAATTGCTTTATGAATGATTATTGCATAAGTTAAAATTGAGTGAGAAGTTAAAACTCTGGGAAATACTTTAATTTCAGACCACAGCAAAAAATTCCATGAAACACTGGGTTCCATAGGAACACAATCTGGAAAACATTATTTTATACATATGTGACAGTTGGATCCATGGTCATATGGTATTGTCTTCAAAGAAGAGAGATTTACTTAAAAAGATGCCATTTTTATTTAGTGATCTTACTGT